AACTTTGTGATTTACTGCTACAATTAATAATTGTCTCAGTAAATGCCCAAACCCTACAGAACTGGTGCCTTCAGAGAGCCACTACATTTACATTTTGGCTATGGCAACGTTACATTTATGGAGTCCCTGAGTGGCTATGATTACATATTTGGCGTCCCTGAGCCGGTTTTCCTACAGGTATAAACTTATAAATGTACAGCAATAAACAATTTATATTGCTATACAATTATATGTTTATAAACCTTTTTTTCTGTAGTAAAAGTAAATTAAATGAAATTAAAATTATGGACTTTTGACTTTAAAAGCTTTATCCAACCCTGGGGAGACCATGCAAACTCTGCACTGAAGACACCTCAGGGCAATTTGTAAATGAATTCAAGACCCAAGTTATTTGAGGCATCCATACTAGCTGCCATACACACACTACACACTAGTACTGTTTGCAATATTCATTTTATTTACTCACTACATTATTATAATCATCCCTGTTATCCCACCAAAAACAGCAACAAAAATATGTAACAATGCCAGTCCATGTATTTGCACTTTTAAGGACTTACTTCCTGATATTATCTCTTAGTTTGGCCTGGTTCTTCAATAATTCAAATTTTCTGTTTCATAAACACAGTCAAATGAAAATCAGCAGGCAGCCTCTTATGGACACACACAAAAGCATGCTGATGCTTTGTGACATCTGGAACGCTGCCTTGCATGTGGTGGTGAATTTCCAAGTACTGTATTTCATTTGGAGAAAACTATAGTGTGATCAGATATCTCCTGCCATCAGTGTTGCTAAAACCCATAAGACAGACATTGCCAGTAGGGATGTGGTTTTACAAAATAAAAAATAAATAATTAAAGAGATTAGATGCAGGCAGTACATTATGTGACAGTTACAAGAATAGAATGCTCAACTGATTTGTAAGCTATGTTTTGCATTGTGAGTAATAACTGAATGCTTGATATTTTATGAATTCTTTAAATTTGGCTTGTTCTGAAGAGGAGAGGGCCTGCTCACAACAATGAGCAAAAGGAGTTATTTTGTGTAATGACAAGCATCATGCATGTCATGGCAAATGCTATGGCTACTGTACTTTCCTTACTTTGAATAGTATTTATTCACATGATCGTAAATATATAATATAGTATATCTTCAAATTATTTTTATAAATATCAAATAAAAAATGGCATTTTAATATTTTTTCAGTACACTTCTTTCTCTTTGATACATACCTGATGATGAATGTATAGTTTCAGCTGCAAAAGGGTTTGATGATGAAGAAGATCCACAGTGTGACTCTACCAGGTGTCCTTTCACTATAACTGGGCTTGAGCTTGGATAAAACAGGGCAGCCTTCAAAGGAGCAATGTTATTAAATCGCACCACGGAGATGCACCCATTAAATCCCAGGGAGTTCACTCTGGAAACCTCTGGGTCAAGGTCATCACTTTCTGAAAAAAGATACGTAAAATATCTGTAATACATGTAAAATAACATATTTCATGCAATACTCTGACCTCTCTCTAGCATTTTATATATATCATATCTTAAAGTGTTTGTTCTCCTTTTTGTGAAGCCACATTAAATTAGATTTTTTTAATATAAACAAGTTGTCTACCTAACCACTACTGATATTTATATTGATGACAGGGGTCATAAAACAAGTAGGAAATAGGAAAGACCTACTTCATTCAAAAGTGCATGTTTGCAAACACAAATATGAAGCATTTACCATTCATTTGTAATCAACGTGACAAAATGCCCAAAACTCTTTTTTAACTATAATTTTTTCTCTCAAAGCTCAGTGATAGAGGTAAATCTCAATTAACATGCTAAACAGTTCATGAAAAAAGAAATTTATATAAAAAAGCATCAATTAAAATTTCCTTTCAGAATGCATATAAATGGGGGAATGGGAGTGCGTTCTAGGTCCACCCTACATGGAATGGTAATGATGGGCATAGAATTGTGTGGAAAATGTAAGAAAAATGTACTTATAGGAGGATTTGGACTCAACTTTGGTGCTTTTACTCTGACTGAGTCTTTGTATTTAAAAGTCGCATATTTAGATGCATAAATTTAGGTTTTAAATTATTACTGTTTTATTTGTTGATTTTTAGGAATGACAATAAACTGTGTCTTATTTACATTTTTATGAAATCTCATATTTAAGTTTTTTACACATTAACTCACTTTGTTTTATGGTTTTATTGATTTTATTTTAGATTTTCTTCAATACAATCATAGAATACATTTTTATTTCAATAAACATTTTGAAGTGGAAATCTAATAAGTTAATTGATTATTAAATTTTTGCAAAAAATATATTGGTGCTTTTACATAATATATTTCAAGGATGTAATTGCTGTGCTACAGTACGTGCAGAATTTTAGAAAACAGTGCGTCAACAAAGTACACTGTTTAGGCTACTTTAGAAGACAATGTAACAAAACAATATATGCTGTCTGGGTCGTTAGATTAGCTGAAAGTAACTGATAAGCTTTGAATAACAAATCTAGTGCTTCTTCTCTCGCTCTATGATGTAATCTGTTTTGTCTAAGGGAAAAGGGAAGTTTTAGAAGGGACAAAGTGCTGAGCCTTTTTACAGCGCAACGTCTTATAAAAACCCTGTACTGCTTGTAACAAATTGAGTCTCTGGTTGCACTTGGAAAAGTGGCAGCAGGGCTCCCAATATTGCAATATTGAAATAAAGACCTTACTCAGGTGAGAACTCTCTCATGTGGCTTCCTTGATAGTTAAATTTCCTCGACAATTTCAAGACATAAATTGTATTAAGAAACAAATTAATAAACATTAATTTAAAATATTATTTGTACACAGTCTAACAAAAATTATTTACTATTTTATAAAAAATATCAACAGGATATATAAGGTGCTTAACAAAAATATTGAAGCCTAAGAAGAAAGCAAAAGAAGATATGAGACAAATAAGCAATATGAGTTACTCTACTGCACAAATGAGACTACAGGGTGTTTGACATACATGTAGTCTTGAACACTCTGCCATGTTGTCTTTTACTGATCATAATTAATCTGGTTAAATTAGAGCTAGTAGTATCCTGAATTAAGTCATAGTATTGTGATAGTGTCAGTAGAGTTAGAAGGCTGCCTGAGCACCGGCAGAGCATGTGTTGTCTTCCGTGCAGTGTGCAGTTGTCTGCAGAGGTTTCTGTTCTCTGGCACAAGAGGGAAATCTTTCTCTAAGCGGAGAAATTAGTTTGTGTTGCCGTGAGGGGAACATATTCGGTTCTATCGCAAACCCCGTCTGCGTGGGGATCTTAAATCGCAGCGCTGATTGGCGTCGGGTGTGGAAGCGGCACATTCCCATGTGCCGCTGAGTAGGAAGTGCAGTGGGAGGTGTGTTCCACTGTCACATACCCTCAGCTTGGAGGGGAACCCCTAAGCGTCCAATTGATGTTGTCGGGAGAGAGCATCCGTGTTTCGGTTGGCAATCCCCACCCGGTGTTGTACCAAGAAACGATAAGGTTGTAGGGCAAGGAACCACCTTGTCACCGGGGCATTTTTCTCTTTATTAGGCTTCATCCAGGTGAGCGGTGCATGATCCGTAACGAGGGTGAATTCCCTGCCCAACAGGTAATACCTCAGCGTTTCGATTGTCCACCTGACCGCCAGACACTCCTTCTCCACGACAGCATATTTTTGCTTCTGGGGCAGTAGCTTTCTGCTCAAGTATAGGACGGGATGTTCTTCGCCATTGAATTCCTGAGATAGGACTGCCCCTATGCCCTTTTCGGAGGCATCCGTTTGAAGGATGAACCTCTGTTGAAAGTTCGGGAGCCTTAAGACTGGATCCTGGCATAAAGCGACCTTGAGGTTACTAAAGGCTTTAGCCGCTTCCTGGGTCCAGCGCACGGTCTGGGCAGTGGCCGCACACGTGAAATCAGACAGGGGTGCAGCCCTCTCAGCAAGGTTGGGAATAAACCATCCGTAATAATTTAAAAGCCCCAGGAAAGCCTTGATTTGGGTCTTCGATTTTGGTATTGGCCAGTCCCGGATGGACTTTATTTTGTCTAACTGAGGCCGGATTTTTCCATCACCCGAACTGGCTTTTCTTCGGGTTAATATGCAGACCCACCTCCTCCAGTGAAGAGAGGATGGCCTGGCAATGTTCCAAATGTTCTGGCCAACATTCACCGAAAATAACCAGGTCGTCCAGGTAGGCAGCCGCATAGTGGAGATGGGGTCTCAGAAGACGGTCCATCAGGCGTTGAAAGGTGGCGGGGGCTCCATGCAGTCCGAAGGGCAACATTTTGTAATGGTAAAACCCCACAGGAGTCCAAAAAGTGGTCTTCGGCTTTGCGAATAACCTTTTGTAAGGTCTAAGTTGGTAATAAATTTGCCCAGTTAAATAAATAAACTTGCCCAGCTTCTCCAGGAGCTCATCTATCCGGGGCATCGGGTAGGTATCAAAACGGGAGACATCACTGAGTTTTCTGAAGTCATTGCAGAAACGCCAGGAGCCTTCAGGCTTCAGGATGAGCACAACGGGGCTGGACCAGGGGCTGTGGCTTTCCTCGATGACGTCCAACTCCAACATCCTCTGTACTTCCTTTCAGATCTCCTCACGCTTTGCTTCAGGTACCCTGTAAGGGGGCACCCGTACAACAGCTCCAGGGGACGTCTTCATGTGATTTTGTACCAACCGTATCTGCCCCAGCAGATCTGAAAAGAGGTGATGGTTCCGGTGTAGGAGCATCTGGGTTTCCTTGATCTGTTGTGGTGAGAGGTTTGGAGAGAGAGAAATTATATTCATGGGAGAGGAGGTAGAATTGCTAGACAGCAATGCAGGGCAGCAATGTCTCCTCTGCAGGGGGTTCTCTTCAAGGTTTCAGGGCGTTCACAAGGTATATCTTTTCTTTTTTACTGTGGTCCGGAAGGTATAACTTGTATGTCACTGGCCCTGTTCGTTCATCTGGCGTAAAGCTTGCACTCTGATGATGGCAGTAGCAGCATTACGCGATCCCCAGGGCGAAAGATCCTTTGCCGCGCTGAACGATCTTAGTACTCCTTTTGTCTGCTTTGTGCTCGCTGTATGTGTTCCCCCACTAGTGGCTTCAGCTGTGCAAGCCTAACCTGAAGGGAATGGACATAGTTGAGCACATTGTGGGAGGACAAGCGCTGCGACTCCCAAACCTCCCGGGCAACATTTAAGATTCCTCGGAGTTGTCTCCCATAAAATAACTAGAAGCGGGAGAACTCTGTGGAGGCTTGGGGTACCTCTTGGATGGCAAACATCAGGAGAGGGATGATTCCCAATCTTTCCTGTAGGCTTTTTTCAGCATCTGCTTCAGGGTTTTATTAAAATCTCTCCACCAGCCCGTCTGTTTGTGGATGCTCTATTGAAGTTCTCAGGAATTTTATGTTCAGGAGTTTACCTATCTCCTGCATCAGGCATGAAGTGAACTGAGTCCCTTGGTCAGTTAATATTTCTTTCGGCAAGTCAAAACAGGTGAAGGGATTTACCATCTCCTTAGTGATGCTGGTGCTGATGGCCCTACGTAGAGGTATCGCCTCCGGATACCTGGAAGTGTAATCCACAATCATGAGGATATATTCGTGTCCCCAGGAGGATTTAGGAAGGGGACCTACTATATCCATGGCGGACGAAGGGCTCGTCAATGACAGGCAGGGGCTCTAATGGTGCTCGGAACTGTGGTTTCAGTGCGCTTAGCTGACTGTCAGGGCAAGATGTACAAAAGCACCTGACATTAGCGTATACTCCTGACCAGAAGAACCTTTTCAAAACTTGCTCCCAGGTTTTGTCTACGCCCAGGTGTGCTTCTAGCAGATGTATGTGTGCCAGGAGGACAAACCGGCGATGTTTTGAAGGAACCAGAAGACACTCCTGATTGGGACCATTACATTGGTATAGCATACAGATGCAGCCATTCAAAATGTGCGGTACAAACCCGCGGTACGATAAACTACCCACAAGCCACCGCGGGGCACCGCGGTAAGTGATTGGCTGGCCAAAATGACTGACAGGGACACTCGTGGTGCATTGGTTGGTAGTGAAAAATGTAATCATTTAATGTCTTTACTGTGTACATTTTAATCCGCTTAGTTTTGAATATTTATATGGAATTTTACCACTAAAGGGAAATTTTAGTAGCTGAGCATAAAAAGAAGAGGAGCATCTGAAGTTCATAAATGATATTAATTTAGGAACATAAACATTATTGTATGTACGTAAACTGTACTGTGTATGGCTGGTCTTGGTAGTTTAAAGAAAAAATACACACCAGTCTTCCATTTCTCCCTAAACATTTTAAACATGAAAGTTTTATGAAACAGTACCCAAATATGTGATTGCTGTATAGAATGAACTTTTATTTCTACCGGACTGTTACATTTCTACCGGACTGTTACACCAATGCATTAGCATGTTAAAGCGATTTAATTGAGGAGC